GTTTTAGCTGCTACATTACCACAGCAAGGGACTGAGGGAGTGCATTGCTACGGTAACGTAACTGCAGCGTCATGGTTTGTGCCTGCTGAAGCTAGGTTGCTGTAGCACTTTGCTATGGCAATGTAGTGTCTTGTGTAGACTTAAATATTATGAAATGTGGGGGGGGAGTTCATATAATAAAATACACAATAACATTTTGTTTCAGTAGTCCCTTTTATCCAAGGACATATTAATGCTTTACCAAATATTAACTAAGAAGCTAAGCCCTAACATATTGATGAGGCAAGAGAAAAACATACACAGCATAGCAATGCTACCCAGTAGTTTAAGACAGAACTATCTCTCAGGCAACCTGCAAACAATTTAAATTGCAACACGTGGGGCTTGTCAGTTGAAATGGAGCAGCTCTGGAACCCAGGGGTGAATGGCATCACTGCGTTGCTCTCATCCATCCCCTTGCCCACCGCAAAGTTTGACATCTTCAGCTGCTAAAATACAGGGGGAATTAGGAAAGATGGAATACAATTACTAAACATGGAAATTGCCTGAGGGTTCTTTACAGAGGTGGTTAGTCACTTTCATCTAGAGTCAAGCATGAGGCAGGGCTAGGTGGCACCTTGGAGACTAAAGCTGCTTGCAGACATGGAAAAAAACAGAATTGCAGTTTACCAGAAGCAGCAGCGTGTTGCTTTAACCTGGGTTTGCAGCATCTGTAGAGATTGGGTGCTTCAGTGGGGCTTTATGGTGCTTTTAGCCAAAGCTGATTCAATCAGCTATTAGAAGTGCCAAAAAGCCCCACTAAAGCATATGATCTATACAGACACCAGGTGAGCCAGGTCCAATTAAGGCTCTGCCTTTTCTGGGCATGCTCAGGGCTCAGTGTGGGAATGCACTGAGTTTAAAGTAAAGCGCCATTTAAAAGAAAAAAATTAACGTTTGCAAGCAGCCTAACTGGTTTATAGAGGCATGAGCTTTTGTTGGCAACTGCCTTCTGTGTCAGATGCTAGCTGGTCCTACCTTCTCTATGAGATCTTTAATGACAAATGCTGAGAAACTGAGTTTACTGCCTCATCTGAAAGACAGTTACAGTACTACAGAGAACAGTAGGAGCATGCTGGGCACTGGTTCAACATGTCAGTAGAATACAGGCCATACTTTACTGTAGCCCCTACATCAAGAATGGACTGCATGGCTTTTGGCTTTTTACCATCACAGCAGGGAAAAATACTGGTTGCAGTCTCCTTCTGCCACTGTCTCCATCTGAGCCTGGCAACCTGTTCAGTCTCTGTAGCTGGAGACCAAGCAGAGAATAGGGGGACTAGCCTGCTGCTGCCGCTGTCCCTAACTAACCTGGGCATGGGGGAGCCCTAAAGCCACTCCTGCTGTGCTTCAGCTGTGAGCTGGGTATGCAGAATACCAGCCTTGTCTGGGAACATCACCAGCAGGTTGGGTCTCCTCATCCTGCACTTGCTCCCTGCTGCGCATGCCCTGCTGGCCAGGAAGAGGAAACCTATGCTATACCACTGCCACTGTCCCTGATTGATGCAGGGCCCCAGAGCCGCTCCAGTCCCACACCAGCTAGGGTTTCAGGGAGCAGCTGTGTGGGGTGCTGGGTTTGGCTGGAGACAGTGGCAGCTCCTGAGTATCCCCTGGTAGCCCTGGGGGCTCCAGTCACTCTTTGTTCCCAACCCCTAACAGTCTGAGTGGCAGCTTGCTCAGTCCTGCATTCCTGTACCTCTCTCTTGGCCCACCTCATTTTGTGACATCTAATAGAATCACAATGCAGTGTTATAGTAGGAGGCCAAAAAATTCTATAATGTATTAAAAAATTGCTTTCCTTTTTTCATTGCTTTTGTTGTTTTTTTAAAAACCCACATTATAGTTGATCCTTGATTTACTCTGCCTTGATACAGTAATATATTGAAATATTTTAAAATTAAAATATATGACAACCACCAGTATTTCATTTACCTATCCTGAAAAAGTCTTTATGAATAACTTTTAAAAAGGATTATTGGGAAATCATTCCATAATTCACAGGTAAATAAAGTCAGAGCCTTCATTGTGCCTTCCAAACAGACATAAACAGCAGCTGCCTTTTTCATAGTGCAGTAGCTTTTTCAAGATGATTGTTTACAGGACAAAAACTGATTAGCAAAGGAACTGGGTGGTGCAGTTTGCTATTGTATGTTTGCTGAGAGCAGGGTTGTAATCTGTTGATTTGTTATAAAATTAGGCTTCCCTCATGCTGTGGAAAGATGTTTTCCAAACTTTAAAGGTTTGTACATGAGTACATTATAAAAAAAAAAAAAAAAGTATTAAGTATTAGCTTCTTTCTTTTCTGTACCTGAAAACAGGCTATATTCTTGTTGGGATATTTATTTGCTTGTTTGCTTTTTGTTGTTGCCACTTATTCTGTAACTTTTTAACAGTAAAGAGGAATAGTCTGAAGTCAGTTTATAAATCTCTGATCCAGCTAGTCTATAAGTTACATCTCTACCCTGCCTTCTTAATAGCAGTGGAAGTTTTAAGGCAGGATAGATTCTTCACCTGCTTTCTGTCAACTCAGGCTTGGAAGTTGTATGTCAACCTACTTAAGAGTACCAGATTATTCAAAGCAGTGGTGCTCAACATTTTGGCCCCATGGGCAGGATAAGGAATACAGGGCCAGTCCATGGGCCAGATCCTTAGTTATGGCTCATATCAGTCTCTAGGTGCCTTGATCCTGCCTCACCCTAGCCTGCCCAATGCACCTGATGTAGCTCGCAGTGTAATACTGTCCTGTCTGCCAGACTCTCCATGGGTCCAAAAATTTGGCAGCAGTGGATCGGCAATTAACGCTGCCACTGCTGCCAAATTTTTGGACCCATGAAGGACACTGCAGCTCAAATGACATAGCTCTGCTAGCTGGATCTGGCCCACAGACTGCGGATTGAGCATTCCTGATTCAAACAAGTCCCCCTTCTCTGCCCAACTCTTTCCCTAAGTGGTTTGCAAAATAAAAGTCATTTATTTTATGATTACTCTGTGATGTTATATGTAAGTGTAAGAATTCTGAGGTATGTGACAAGCTATGGCAAAGCAAACATTAAGTGGTACGCTGGGGATTTAGAATTGCATTTTCACAGTTTAATCTTTAGTGGTATATTGTGTGGCAATGAAGTATATTTGGAATCAACATGGAAATGGGAAAATCCTCAGTTTTAGAGTTGGAGGGATTTAGGAAGTATTCATGCACCTTGCCTTCTGTTCTAGTCTTCTTCTCTTTTCATGGACAAAAAAAGCTCTTTCCCAGCTCTGCTACCTTAGTTCTTATTTTTCCTTTCTTACTTTGGATCCTTTCAGAGCTGTGATTTCACCTGATTGATACTTTTAATTCTTCCTCATCTCCTGCACTGACACTTTCAATTCCCACTATTAATGTGTAAACTCAAAAAAAGTACTGGAAGATATTTCATATCCTGATGAGATTTATTGTTGGGAATTGGAGGTTGGGGTGTCAGGGACAGCAAGAACAAAGTAGGAATCGCTTTTAAAATGGGTGTTGTGACTCCTTGCTGTATTCTTAAGAAAAATATTAAAGATTTAAAATTCTAATAAAACAACAAAAAATAAATTGTCTCCTAGTTAAAGCATTTACATTTATTCATGTGTTGGAAGTACTAGGTCAGTACTTCTCAACCTTTTTTGATTCAAGGCACCCCCCCTTTACTTTTGTGAATTGAGTGGCACTCCATTTCAAAATGTAGTTTATATATTACATTGCTTATCTCCTTATGGGGGCGGGGAGGAATGGGGGAGGGGAGAGCTGAGTAGTAGGGGTGGGGGATCATCCAGGCAGGGACAAGCCTGACCCTGGTTAATCTACTTACTTCCTCACAGCATCTTTCAAAAAATCTGGCAGTACCCCAGCTCCCTGGTTGAGAATCACTTGCTTAGGTGCTTTATTGGAGAAGGACCTAAACTGGCAACCAAGCTCTGAGGGATTTGGGGGTGGGAGTGTTCCCTGTTCACCTTCACTTTAAATTGGCTAAGCAAAAGAAAAGAACCCTAATTTGATATTTATTATTTTTGTTGTTCACAATATTTTGCATTGAAATGCCAGTCAGTCGGATTATTGCAGTCTGTGCAGTAATGGGAATGTTTTAAGCAGTTTGTCTTGCTACTAAAGTGGTCAGAATCTGACACTGAACGTAGCCTAAATAATATGAAGGATTTTGAGGAGACAGTCAGTGTAGTTCTGTTCACTTCAGTAGAGCTGTGACCTGCATATATCAGGGCTGTGTTCTCCTTCTTTGTAATAAAAAAAAAAAAAAAGTACTTGGAGAAGTGGATTCTCCAAAATATACTCCCATTCCTGTTTGATTCTGGCTTTAGAGATGTTTTCTTTTTCATGTAGTCCTTTTCATTAGATTTATTATGCATAGAAGCACTGTTCTTAATGGTAAAAATAAATAAATATATGTGTGTGTGTGTGTGTGTGTGTGTGTGTATATATGTGTGTGTGTGTGTGTGTGTGTATATGTGTGTGTGTGTGTGTATATATATATATGTGTGTATATATATATATGTGTATATATGGGGTTTTTTTCCTCTTGGAAGTTTAAATATTCAAAAAAATTGAGATTTATGCTTTGAAGGGCAGGTTGTCCCCTCAATAAAAAAAAAAAAAAAAAAGAACAATTATCTCCTAAAAAATTATATGGAT